ACATGAGGTATTTATAACATTGTCTTTGATTTATATGAAGGGAAACCAACATGTGTACAAATTAAATAAATTACTAAATACATAACTAAACAGCAACACCAGGTCCAGAGTCATGTGTGTTTGAAATGCATCATCTGAACAGCTGGGATTCAATGCCCTTCTACTGTTGGACTAGGAAGCTACTTTCAGAAAATGTAACTCCTTTTTTGAGTTCCAAACCTCTGAGTTGAGCACCCCACTATCTAAGCTAATAGGATTTAGACTGAACTATCAAGTAACTGTTGTGTTCTTTGCAGCCTTTCAAGTTCTGGCAAAGTCCTTCTATCACAATATATTATCAGAACTGTTAAAGCAACATAATTTGAGGAAGAGAATGCAGGGATGTCAATTTTGGCATCCTCTTTTAAGGTTTTTGGAGGGCTCTTTGCCATCTCAGATGGCAGATCATGGCTGTTAATACTCTAGAGCAAGAAGGCAAAACAGTATTGAGAAAGCCAGTGCCAAAAAGAATGGCCTTAACTTTTGTGGGTTTTATTCCTTTTGTCTTATCCTCAGCACAAGGAAAGGGTAAATCATCCTGGCTGGTGCACTGGGGGCTCTGCTTCTGTTGGTTTCCTCTCTGCCAGGCCAGAGGGCAGCTCACCCCCGCCACCAGCACTCCTACCTCCTCAACACCATGTCCACTCTGGGCAAGGGTGGGGCTGCATACCGGGGTAAGAAGGAATTGGAAAACTGAGAATGTGAGGCCTGTGAATATACTTGTACATGTTGGGAAGTAATCCCTTCTCACTTGAGCCTTTTAGCTTCTCGGTAAGTCATCAATTTACAACTGAGGAAATGTAAAGGCAGAGAGTTGATTGGTCCAAGAACACATGCTTACTCAATTCCAGGGACAGAACTTAAACTTCCTTCTTTTGGCTCTAAATGCATTATGCTTGTCTCTATACCTCACGGCCACCAATTTCTACAAGTCCTTTAGTTACTCTCTAGTTCAATCACAGACTCCCATAGGGCAGGAGGGATATTCCAGTGCAAAGTTGATTAAACTACTCCTCCCTCCCATAGTGTATTAGCATAAAATTAATCAAGAAATATTGAAGAAATATCTATTGACTGCTTGTACTAGGTGCTAGGGAAAAGCAAGCAAGCAAGCAGATAAAATTGTCTGCCATCATGAAGCTTACAATCCAATGGAAGGAGTCAGATAATGAATGAAAAAACAAGTAAGCACATAGCATGCTAGATGGTGATGGGTTCATTGGAGAAAAACAAAACAGGAGAAGGTAAAGAGTGTTGGTTAGGGAAAGGGCTTCTGTGGCTATCTGCAAGAACATTCCAGGCAGACAGAGAGTATGTGCCAAGGCCCTGTGGTAGGATGTCTGAATGTTGGTAAAATAGTAGGGAGGCTAATGTGGCTGGTAGAGCACAACCAGGAGAAAGAGCAGTAGGAGGTAATTTTAGGGAGCCTAATCATGTAGAGCTGTATAGCCACAGAAAGACTCTGGCTTCTATTCTAAATAAGCACTTGGACATTTTGTGCAGAAGAATGACATGATTTGTGTTGACTTATATTTTTAAACAGTTATGAAAACAGACTACAAGGGGAATAAAGATAAAACAGGGAGCTATGGTAACAATCTAGGAGAATCACAATGATGGTTTGGGTGAGGTGGTAGGATTGGGAGTAGGAGTTGGGTTCTGAATATATTGATAAAGAAAATAGGGTATTCTGACCAGTAGGATGTGGGAAGAATTACAGTATAAGAGGAGGGGACAAAGAGCACACTGGGCAGGAAGCCTGGGATTCTGAGTTGGAGTTTCAGCCTCATCTCACATTTGCAGTGTTAATCAGGGAAAATCACTGACAAGTTTAAGGCCTCATTTTTCACATCTGCAAAAAGGTGCTCAAATACCTTCCCAACCTCACAAACGAATATGATGTCTGTGCTCAAGTTGGCTTGCTTAGAATTGAATCTTAGCTCTGTGTGACCTTGTTTAAGTTCATTAGCCTGAGCGAATGTGGTGGGGAGACTGAGGTAAAATCTGGAATATATTGAGTGCAAACATAAAAAACAAAAAACTAAATCATTGCAGTTATGAGGATTCAATTTTGGAAGCATTTTTTTTTTAAAAAAGTTAAATCTCTTTCTTGATGAGGTAAAAATAACCCTAGAAGAAAGTTGGTCCTGGAAAACTATTTTCACCAAAGCCTATGATTTATAGCCATAATATGGATTTTGCACTCTTTGAAACTATATTTACAAGGTGATACCTAGTGACCTGATAAATTCCTACCCCCTCTCTCCCCTCAAATCCTCATCTTCAGTTTTAGTTTGATTTAAGCCCCAAAGGCTTCTTTGGCTTTCCTATCTCTGAGCAAGTTCATCACACCCTGGAATTTTTCTAAATTTTTATTAAGTACATTTTTACTAGCAAGATATGATTGAGTTATTCTAAGTGACTCAAATGTTTACAACTTTCCCAATCTTGCTTAAATATGCAAAGCTACCTCTTTTCAATTCACAAAGTCAGAAGAAGCACCCCTCCTTGAAAGGTTCAGGATGGGCCTGACCCCCCAGGGGGGAGAGGGCAGGCATCACATGGCCTACTTGGTCTCCACATGGATCCCTCTTCTCACACCCACCACACACTCAAAGGTAAGCCTGCCTCCTCCTCTCTCCATTCTCCATGACCCTCCCAAGTCATTCCCCTCAAAACCTACCTACCCTGCAAGGTAACTGATAAGCAATTTAATAATAAGCCAATTTAAATTGAACTGCTATTAGTAATGAGGAAGCATTAGCCTGCGGACTCTCTGCAACTTAACTCCCAGAGATTTCAATTAAAGTTATGGTGGAATGGTGGAGTGTTCAGGCACTATGAAGATAGTTGTTCAGTAAGAAGTCCCCTTGAGAAATGCTCATGAAATCTTCTCAAAAGGTGGTCTCCTTCTTTGCCTATACTGTAAGTGAGCAGCTTCAGTATGGTCCCTGAGGCCAAGTCATGGGGTCCACAAAGTTAAAACTATTGTCATAATCACACCCATGACACACCAAAGTGTTTGCCTTTTTCGGCCTCACTCTCTCACAAGTGTGTTGTGGATTTTCCAGAAGCTACATGATGTGTGACGCTGACATCACTCTAATGACTAAGAGAATGCATGCTTGTATATTTTGGTTTTCAAAGTTGATTAGTTTTAATTTCAAGTATCAACAGAAACTTCACTTTCTAAGAAAACTCTTTGGGGTACTCAATAATGTTTTTAAGTGTGTAGAGGGGCCCTGAGACCAGATGTCTGAGAACTGCTGCTTTAAGTTATCCTCCCTGATCTGGCTGCAGAGATACCAGAAATACAGCAAAACCAGAAGGAGGGTGGTAATTCCTACTAACTGCAAAACGGAGTTTGCTAATCACTTTCCAAAGGTTAGTATCTAAAAGCAAAATCAAAAGGCCACATATAAGGACGTGCTCCAAAATAAATCAATCATGTCCAAAGAATACAGGCACCAACTTGAAGGAGCTCCAGTTGCCCAGATCAGGAACATTTGATTTGTAGCTTTGTGCTTAATCAGAAATGTCAGTGGCATCTTTTAGGGTGTGAGAGATAAAGGGAAGAGAGGTTTCACACCAGAGGGAAAACATAAAGATTAACATTAATGTCTACATTTCCCACATTTCCCAAGAGAATATCATGAATCAAATATTTAGAGTTCACACTTTTAATTATTAAGTATCCTCATACAAATATAAGAAATAACACAACAATTAAATAACATATGAAAAGCTCACTAAATATACAAATATCCAATTCTACATTGAAAACAATTTAAGTTTAGTTCCTAGGTCACTGTAAAGACACAAGAAAGTGAAGGATATGCAAAAGTCACTAATATGATCTTATGATTATTTAAGAGTTCAAGATGGTTCCACTAGTTAGAACAATATATTTAAAACAAAAGGATTTGTATGTCCATACATGCTTCCTTGGCTACTGTGAGAATTAACTCATGGGAAAAAAAGCTAGAAGAGACAAAACATATGAATTAGCTGACTACTTTACAGAAAACCTTCTAAACGCCTGTTTTCATACACAATACACTGTCATACTAGGCTGAATTCAGAATTACTAAAATAGGGCAGGGTCATATTATGAAACAAATGGACAGGGAATTCATGCTTTTTTAAAAATGTGAGGTGGTGTACAAGACTAACAATATTATTCTGCTATAGAAATATATAACCAAAGTTAAGGTTGCCAATGTTGTTTCACAATAAATTCGGTCCCATTTTCATTGTGGTAAATATCACAGAAGCACATGAAGAATATCAGTGAAACCAAGGGTTCTAGAAAGACCAGCTATTAGCAAAGCAGTGAGCAGGTAGCAGACTAGATACCAAGTGATGAGGAAACAGACTCATGGACCTCAGAACAGTAAGGGGAGAAGAGATGCAACATCACCAGGAAGGCAAAAGGTAGTCTCAGCAAGTTCTTTGGTCCTGAACCTTCCTGCATTCTTCTTTCACTTCTTTTCCCTTCATGTATTCATTTGGAATTCTTGAACATGTTCTTTTACTTGTAGTCTTAGAGCAGAATGGCAAATTATCTGGCCCAACTCCTGAATCTTTTGGATGCAGACATGGAAGCTCATTGAGATAAAGTCATTAACACAGGGTTGCTACCACTCAGAATCAAAGTTGGCCTCTGAGCTGTGGCTCCTGATTCTAAGTCCAGTATCCTTTCAACAGCACAACACCACATTACTTTACAAAATCAAGTCCTACAACAGACCTGAGAGGTAAAGTGACTTCCTCCTGGAACTCACAGGAGCACTGGATAGCTTACAAGGCAGTAGAAAGTCTTGAAATTCTTAGGCTTTTCACTCCCACCTCTTTTAGGTCCCTTGCAGAATGACCCTTTTCCTCTGCTTTCCTCCTCTGTCAGATTCAAGTAGATCAGGGAATAACTTTCAGGGTTCAGTGACTCATCTAGGACTCTGGATAAAAGAAAGATCAAGATATTAACTGAGAACATTTATCATTTCTATCCTACTAGGTCTTAGGAGGATCAGTAACAAAAGGTCAATCAATAAACCTAGAATTCTCCTTGTGCATATTTCACTTGCAAAGATAGGGAAATAGTCATTCTTGACCCAGTGTGATGTGAGGGGACTGCAACTCCCTTTAAAAGGACATAGAAAAAAAAAAAGGACATAGATAATTCTGGGAAACAATGGTTTGCAGAATTACTCAAGACTACAACTAAAATAACATGTTCAAGAATTCCAAATGATCTACATGTACTTTACTTATTAGACTTTGAGCTTTGTTTCCTGTCGACAGTTACTTGCCAGATATGGGTTGGGAATGGACATAAAGTAGACATATGGAGGTCCTTTCAAGGCCTTTTGGCTTTCTAGCACATAAACTGGGAGGATGTCGGCCTCCCCACAGCACATAGACAGTGAAGTAAAAGACCTGGATTTGTCTTGGTGTTGCCTCTCACTCTCTGTGTAATCTTAAGTAATTCTTTAACAGAACCTCCAAGTTTCTGCATGGTTTAATGTTGCCAACATTTCCAGCATCAGCTATCTGTGGTGTAAGACACAGAACAGCTCAGGCAAGATTGTCCAGGCTTAAGGGTCTGTTGGCCAGTGACTCTGTGATCAGATTATGTCATGACATTTTGATATGATGGGTAATATTTGTAGCCATTCTATGGTAAAACTTCATAGAAAAACAGTGTCTTAGCATGCAAGATTTCTCCCAGCAATTCTGACCTAGGCCATTCAGTAAAGGTTGCTTAACAGTTTTCTCATATAAAGCATCACATTTCTTCTGCTTGGAACTATACAGAAACTGGAGTAGGGCTAAGGGTTGCCACTCATCAGTCTTCATCTGGGGAGCATAGTTACAATTATTTAGGAAGCAGAGATTCTTGCTTTTCTGGAAAAAAAAATTCTTTGTATTGTCCTTCAACTAATTACCAATTTCACCATCACAAATTGTTTATTGAGCCCCTCTGTTTTTGACATAAATACTAAGCTTAAAATAGGAAAAAATGACATGATACTACCTGGGATATAGTGTTTTACTAAGATGGCCATTGTTATCATTGCCAATAGCCTACTTATAGGTTAGGTTATTGTACAGCGAAGTAAAAGAATGGAAGGAAATGTACAGACAATGTGGGTGGAAAAACCCCACTTCTACATGAAATAGCTAGATACTTGAAGAAAAAGTGAAATTTGGAATATGTATTTCACATGGTTGCCTAAGTTTCCTATTGTTTTCTAATTCAGCCTTGACTTCAATAAAACAAAAGACAACTGCTACTCAAAGATTTCTACAAACTTGGTGGCTGTCTATGATGAGCTGCCCCCAGGTGATGTTTTTGTTTCTGAAAAGCATGTCATCATTGGTGGGTTGACTAATAAGAGATAAAAGGTTATTGTTAACCCCAAATTTAACTTTATTGTAGCATATGTGGAAGGGACTAATTTATGACATCAATGGGTTTTAATAGAACTATTACAGAATGGGGGAAAATTTCCCTAGGAAATTTTTATTTTTTTTCTCACTTTCTGTTTCAGTAACAAAGTACTGGCCTAATGAAAGAAGAAAGTTCTTTGAAAACCAATTAATCTATTATCATATTGTAGTCTCTTGGCAAGTAACTATAATGATCCCATCAGGAATGATGCCAAGAGAAATCACCTCTAACTTATCATACCTTCTTCCAGGGCACAGCTTTACAGTTGGAAAAAAACCAACATCATACTCTCTGTCATTATATAGAATCAAAAGAAAAATAAAGGGAGCTAGCTGCTCTATAAAAATAACATCAATCATTACAGATTATCCCTCTGTCCAAAAACTGTAAATCAGTTTGTGCTTTTGTGAGCATTAAGTAATTTTGACCATTTTTTGGACATTTATCTAACAAAGAGTTGGACCTTGCTTAGACTGTCCCTATTTACCAGATTTGTCTTACTACTTACTGGACAGCTTCACAGAAATGATTGTCTACTGACATTCAGTAAGTTCAAAAAGTAATTCACCCCTCCCTCCTCTCCTTTTTCTCTCCCTATGAAGTCTGAACATACACACACACACTCCGTTTCTGCTCTCCACTTCCCCATTTCTGTTCATATCACATATCACCATTTTTCCAGTCACCAGATCCAGAATCTTGGTGTCATTTTTGATGGATCATATTTCCTTGCCCATCCAAGTTTTATGTTTTCAGGAGATGATGGGGAGAAAAAAAGAGAGGAAAAAAAAAAACAAGGAAAGATGGAAAGCAGACATAGAAGGACATTTTTCATTTTCATGGCAGATTGACAATCAGAATTTGTTACTTGAAAAAATTTAAAAATGGCACTATCTTTTATGATTATCTTTCCTTTCTCCCAAGTTTTTGGAATAACTTTAAGTTTGGTCTTAATAAACTCAGCCTGGAGTGTTTAAGTCTCCAGCATCATCAATACTTTGTTTTATTAGCTATTTAAGTCAATGGCACCAAATGATCTGGCTGTTAAAATTTTTGAAACTAGCCAAAAATCTCCAGTCACTCAAAATATGCTACTGAATGTTCAGTGTAATTAAGTGAATTGGCCATATATCATGAAGGCATCGTAAATAAATGGCAGTCCTGGTGCTTATAGGCTTCAGTAGATTCAAGTGCTTATTTCATAGGAGAGAAAAAGCCTGAGTAGAAATAAGCTGACTCTCTTTGCTTCTGAAGCTGGATAAAGCATTGCACAATGATATCTCCCAGAAAAAGTCAAGATTTACTTAATGAACAAAGGACAATTATTTTGCAAGTACTCCATGCTAGAGGAATTTACCTTGGTTTTGAATATACTGTATTAAAAGATTCTTGCTCAAGAGGGACTTTTTAAAATTAATTTGAACACTTCATACTTCTCTGCTTGCACTTTCCAAAAGAATACAGCAGTAAGAGCAAGCACAGACCAAAATCAATACAACTGCTAACAATATCAGCTTTGAAGTAAGGACTCCAGGACACCATGACTGGAAGAACATCCCGGCAGAGGTCAGGAGACTAGGGCTCTAGTCCTAAACCTGCTGTTAACTAGCCATGTGATCTTAGGGAAGGAAGTCAACTTCCCTCTCCGGGATTCAGCTCCTAATCGGAAAAAATGAATAGCCTGATTAAAGTAGAATCAACCTTCTGTTTCAGACATTCTGCAGAGCACTAATGAGTTTAAGGGCTTAGTTTGTGTGCAGTAAAATGATCTGCTCTGCATTCTCCTCTCCTGAACAAAACAAATACCTGTATCTACTTTTGCAAAAAGGTCATTGACAATAAAGATTTATTGCTTTTCTTATAAAATCACAAGAATTAATCTGATGTTTACATAAGACTTATTCAAAATTAAGTGTTCAAAAACCTAGAATATGAAAGCTATTAATCTATGAGACATAAAAGAAAAAAAGGTAGTATTGGAGTGGGATTTTTTTCTAGAAATCTGAAATGACACTCAAAGCCAACATTTCTTTCTTCCCTATCTTTCAGTCACCTGAGGTGGAGAAAACACCCAATATTACCCCTTCACCCTAGGAACCGCCCATCACCCACAACACAAACTGCTACTTTGCATCAGCTTTAAGAAATGATGTGCTGTCTTCAGAAACCAAAGAAATTTCATTCTCTCGAGCTGACTCCTCTAGCGTACCATATCTCTTGTTTTATTTCCCACAATGTTTTAGACTCAGCATTTAGGAAGGACTGAATTTACAGTAAGAAAAAGGGAAGTGAAAAAATCACTTTGAAAATGATTATCCTTCCATCCATCCATTCACTATTTTGATGAATGTTTACTGAATACTTGATATACATAAGACTCTATGATTGATGTTGTAGGGGAGACAGAAAAACTTAGAATATATAAGGGCAGAATGACACGATCAGTTATTGTAAGTCTGGATCACTTGTTATGTTGCTTATAGTGTCTGAAACATAGTAAGAATATAACAAAGAAAGTGCTACTTCATTAGTGATCGTGTTGGACAATTTCACAGTCTCTTGAATGGAGTAGCTGGGCTGTGGAATGCTGTAGAAAGAGAAGAGATGGTCCTTCTCATTAATGGGTAGCAAGAACACAGCAAAGGTACCCAGACCTTTTTTTTATTTTTGCCATCTGATGATTCCATAGTGATCAGATAAACATTCTCCGCATTCCTCTCATCAGCCATTACTCCCAATTTATAAAATAATTAGCCTTGAAATGATCTTAGCAAATGAAAAGCAGGAATAGCCAGTTTAATGGTCAATTTCAAGAAAACCACACTATGTGTCTTAAAATGCTGTCAACATATATGCATTTCAACAAACAAAATACACTGGTGCCACCCCTTTATTTACATCTTCATTTGACCCTCAAATTGTAATTTAAAAAATCATTGTTTTCCTTCCTTCTTTGCCCATCCCGTGATGACTTACCTCGATCTTGGTTCCGATGACGTTTCCAATATAATAAGATTGAGATTAAGACCAGAAGGATTAGCAGGGAAACAATACTTAACAATAGCGGGACTGAAAACCAATAGCCTATAGACATTGAAGGGAGAAAAAGGAAAAACAAAGTCAGAAGAAGCTGTTGATGAAAAAGTGAGGAAGCTTTTATGTATTACACAGTGATGAGTTTTTACTAGTGTTCAGCTTTCAATGAAAATGATCCTTAAATATATACAGATGGAGGCCTATTCGTGACTTCACATTATTTTAATCATGTTTAAATAACAATAATCACTGTCATCTTTTATGTGGTTACTATGTAAAGAGCTTCGAATATGTCATCTCATTTAATCCTCAAAGCAGCCCAAGAGTCAGGTATTATTATTATCATCTAACAAATTTTAAAAAACAAAATGAAACTGAGGTTCAGGGAAGCTAAGTAAGCCCCAAGTCAGCATAGTAAGTGGAAAAAACCAAGGCTTGGTCAGAGGTCTATTCATCTTTGCCACACAGGTTCATTAAAATAATAGGTTTATTGAGGAAGTTTTGGAAAACACACGGAAACAAAGGAAAAAAAATCATGAATCTCATGATTTCAACCCCCAGGCATAACTCATCTCAATATTTTAATTTTATTTCTTCTAATCTATATCTTTGCTCTTAAATCTCTTTCCAACAGTCATTACCTGCAACTCAGTCTACATATCAGCTCCTGTGTCACTTTGTGATCCAAGGACAGAGGAAGAGCTTCCTGATTTCAGAGTCTCCAGCATTTTCCCCTTACCTCTTGGATGGGATTGGTCACGTCAAACTTAACTCAGTACCTTCACACAGGGATCTGTCTAACTGCAATAGTTATGCTGCCTGTCATGTTGCTTTAAGCATGGGCGGTTTTTAGTCAATGCTCTCAAAATGAACATTACACAAATGATGTACAGACATTATAAATGATATACATCAATTTTGTTATTCTTGGAAAAGAAGGCATGTTCCTTTTCAAGTTCTTGGGGTTTTTTTCAGAGAAAATTTCCCTTTGCCTTGGCTGAACCTGAGGATCTCTTCATAAATGGCCAAATCTAACACCACAAACCTGATGTGGACTTTTAGATTAATTTGTCTTTTCAAGGATCCCAGAAATGACTACAGGAGATGTTTCTTAAAGGTCACTGCACCAGTGAGGTCTATGTGGGAAAGCTTTTCCAGGTTTTACTGCCCAAAATGCCCCCTGAAAAAAGTAGCAATATCATTTTAGGGGGCTTATTACTGAGAGCCTCATTCAGAGGCACTTCAGTGCTTCAAAATAACACCAAGAAAGAAAACGATGGCTGTTATTACCAAAGCGTTGTCTCTAAACCTTCTGCTTCCTTTTTCGCTCACTCATGACCCTCTCCTCACATCCATGAGGCCCAGAGATAGCAGTTTAGATAGGAAACACAAGAAGTAAAAGGCATCTGAGTGGGAGGAAGGTTATTTTAAAAGGGGAGAGGAAAACACCTCAGATCAGCCCCTTTCCAAAAAGCTCTATTGCCCCTTTCGCACCATGTGGATTATGCCAAGGTTTCATCACGTATGCCACTTCTCCCAGGAAATCTCCCTAACCCCTTCAGATTGAGCTGATGCCCCTTCTCCCCACCCTCAGTCCTCCCACAGTGCACCACAGCTTTCTTACTGAAGCATTTAAGACAGTTTTACAACAGCCCAGCCTCTTCTCCACACCCCCTAGTAGACTAGAAGCTCTCTGAGTGCAGTGACTGAGTCTTGCTTACTGTCACATTTCAACTGTCACAAAGGCTGGCATACAACCCAGCAAATATTAGTAGCATGGAAGAATAAATGAATGAATGCATCTCGGCAGAAGAATTCGATGTGTGGGTAACATACTACTCACCAGACTGAAACTGGCTTTATTGGCTTCCTCAACTCTCTTCCTTTCCCTGCCTTCCCCAGACTCCCCCCTAGCAGCTTCTTTGCTAAGAGGCTGCGATGCTCTGCAAAACATTCACCTTCCAGGTGTGTGTACACAGATGTGACCACAGCCATCTTTGCCCACCTGCTCTTACCTTTGTTCACAGTTTGCCTGAAGTAGGTCACAGTACCCAGGTGTAGCACCTGGCAGATCACCTCCTTCCCCATCTGACTCTTGGGGTCTTTGACATGGAGGACGCTGGTGACGGACGTGGTCCCGTTGGGGTGTGAGACAATTTCAGTATTGTTCTCAATCCCTGACCCAGAGACTTTCCAGGAGATCACAGGGGCTGGCCGGGCATTGGCAGAGCAAGTAATATTTAGGTGGTCTTCAAAAAATTTATAGTGAAGGAATACTGTGGGCTGTACTGGGACAAAAAACAAACAAACAACGATGGTCTGCCATCAGTTAAGCACCTGGTCTGAGTCCCACACTCTCCATGGAGAAATGAGGGGAAGATCTTTATAGAAAGACAATGGAGGCCTCAAAGATAAGGTGGCATATCCAGTCTACACTGGGGCCTTTTCCACTCCTCCTGTGTCTAATTCTCTGACTTGCGGGATGGAGACTGGCTGAAGACAGTCCTGTGACAAGGAAGGCCTCTCTGTAGTTTGCCTCTAGGAGAACTAGGTGAGTGGACAGAGGTTATCTTCTCTCCCAAACAGTCCAGTGCCCAAATATTTTTTTCCCCTTTTCCAGGGGCAATGAAGCATCCCTGCTGCCTTCTGGGAATCCTTATCCAATAGTTTGACAATAACCACCCATCAGCACTTCCATACAAGTCACCTGCATTTCTCAGAAGCACAAGGGCAGTTTCAGAACAGAGAGCTCATAAAGGAGTGCTGCTTAGAGTTAACCTTTCCCTGCTTGAGCCGGAACAGTGAATGAGATGCACAGAGGAAACTTGGAAAGTCCCTGTTTGGAATATCTACACAAAATGTAAATTAGGAATTCACTGCCAAGAACCAAAAAATCATAGAATGACAGTTGGAAGGACCTTGGAGATCACCTTACAGAGTTAAGAGAAAAAAACTAGCTTATGAGAAAAGGACATTCTTTTTAGGCCAGATCTACTCTGTTCCCTTTTAAAAGTCCCTTGACTAATGTATTCATCTTCTTTAGAAAGTGCAGTTTTTTCTGCTGAGCAAATGAGACTTGCCTTACGGTGACTAGCTTTGAAGCTCACAAGATAATTAAAGGGCAGCACTAAAAGAAAGCCTGATCCATGCTTAGAGGTTCAAGACGTGGGTAGAAGTAGGCTGGAGGAAACGGGGCCATCGGTCCGTGACTCTGTCCACAGAGGGCCCAGATTACTAACAACCATGAGCACTGTGGGATGGGAGATAAAAGTGAAGGAAGACAAGTATGCTTGATGTGGTTAGGCTGGCGGATGACTTAAGAATGCCTTAGATGGAAGCTAAAAGGTATGGCTGGGAAGTTGGTGTGGAAAAGAACAACAGGATTACTAGCTAGAAGACTCAGAGGAGCCTGATTTTGAGGCAAGAGATAATGCAAAACATACATAAAGGTGGGAGTAGGAGAAAGAGTAAAATTAGCAAAAAAGAGAGAAAAATGGAACAGAAGTGAGAAAAATATGACACAAGAAGGAAAAAGAAGAAAAATGAGATAGAACAAAGGAAGGAAGGAGGGAAGAAGGAAAAGAGAGAAAGAGGGAGACAGAGAGACAAAATGAAAGAGAGAGATATCAAGAAAAAAGCCAGACATAAGAATCTACAGAGGGGACCTATGACAGACAAAATCAAGGAGAGAAATGTGGATTCGGCATTGCCATACCTCCCTCTCATTCTTTATCTACTGAGCCATTCACCCATGTCCCATGTTGGCTTGCTCAAACTCGGACTTTAACATTCCTGATAACCGTGTCTAAGTCTGTCTTTTCCCTTCTAAAACCACTACCAAGTGTGCTGTGCTCCAAAGTTACCCCTTATTCCTGTTTCTCAGTTCTTGATCTCAGCTATGTGTCAGTTAAGAAGAAAGCAATTTTGTCCTAAGCCTCTTGGATTTTAAAAGAATGCTTATTATCCAATAAGATCCCTAGTTGGCATCAGGTATGAAGAGCCTCTGCTCCATGTCCCCTTATCAGTCTTGAGAGGGCTTTACTGAAACAAAATGAGAGGAACCACCATAACTGGCTCTGGGTTGGCTCAATCTGGCTCTATCCTTGGATCCAAAAATGTTAAAGCTGTTAGAGTTGCAAGAGATGATCTATTTCACACTTACTGTGCAGAGAGTGCACAGTAAGATATGGTGCACAGAGTGGACAGGACTCAGCAGAGCCATGTGATCACAAATGGCAAAGCCATGTCGAATCATATCACTGCTTTCAGAACTTTTGTCACCATGGTCTTTAATTTATTCTTGCTGACAACAGGATCCCTCAGAGCAAAAATAATTCCAGGCAGAGACTCAACGTAGCCTCATGAACTCTCCAAATAACCATAACCACAGTTACAATAGACATGAAAAGCTAAGTGTCTTCTCAAGAGCCTTTCTGGGGCTTGATTTCTGAAAACCTAGGCACTACCACCAGGTTCCAGACATTCTTGAAAATCACGCTTCTATCCAGAGTTAATGTATTCTCAGGGACTCACCAGAAAGGGTGAGGCAGGCTACTCCTGAGATCTTCCCAGAACCAAAGGTATTGAAGAGGCACTTGTAACAGCCCTCATCATCCAGGGTGGTATTCCAGAAGGTAATGGTTGAGTTATGGAGTCCCAGCTCGGTGATGTTCACCTTGTCCTCATAGGCAGGCTGGAGCACAACCCCATGGTTCTTGCTGAAGGTGACCATGTTTTCCGGGCTCACAGCCCTGATTTTCTGCCACGTCACAATCAGGACTTCGTGGGGACTTTGCAGAGAGCATCGTAAGGAAACGGGTGTGTTCAGCAGCGCTTTTTCATCTTGGGTCACCACTGTCATCACGGAACCATAAAAGAACATTTATATTTTAAAATTTCATACATATGAATACATGTTTTTCTGATTAAAAATAATGCATGTTCAAAGTCAAATATAGAAAAGATGATAAAAATGCAAGAAAGAGAACATTTATCTACATTTCTGATGTGGTTAGAGAAGTGTAAGTTCAAATACGTTTGTTCAGTCTTTAAGAGTAGAGAAACGAGGGTGAGAGTCTCAGTGATGAGAAACTGTGTGATGAATCCCTATAAGCTGGAGAGCAGGTGGAAGAGGGAAACCACCAGATAAGATACTAATATCACTAAGTGTGTCTATGCCTGGAGAGGTAGAAGCCAGGAGTAGGAAAGGGCCAGGGGAAGATAGGCAGAGTGATTTGCCTAAGTGAGGAAGAGGCAGCAGTCCTCTACACTCCACACATAAACACTACAAAGGAAGGGGAAGCAATGGTGGTGTCCGCCTCCAGGAAGCAGTGGTGAGTGTAGGAACATAAGACAGAGAGACATGGGAGAGTGCTCTAGGCGGCTGACAGTACCAGAGAGTTTTGGCAACTGAATGGCAATCTGCACATTCCCACACTTTTACTGAATGCAGGACAGAATATGAGGCATGGCAACAATTTCTTTCCCTTTCAATGGGGGCTACTCATATTGATATGATAGATGATTCAATGGGAAATCTCAATATAACAGCAAATGTCCAAACATTTGAGAAAGCTGATACAATGAAAGAGGAAAAACAAATTCCACAAACCCAACAACTTACTAAATGACTAAAGATATTGTAAATTAATAAACACTGATGTGAATAAATGTGGTATCTTAGGTGTATAAAAAAGCCAGCATTGTAAATAGAAGAAATTAGAGATGCAGAAAATAAGAAATGTAGAACTTTAACAGATTGTCTGACATAGGAGAGTGGACATTGCTTAAGAGTAAGTTGATAAATAGGAAGACAGGTCATAGAATCCTTCCAGAATGTAGCATGTAGCACAATAAGGATATGAAAAAGATTAAAGAGAAATTCAAACACCTGGAATATTTAAGCCTCAGTCCAGTAAGACTTAAAAGGAAAGGAAAGGGAGAATGGAAGACAAAAATACTGAAAGGGTCAAAAATGTATTTTTTCAAAATGGTAAAAGGAGCACTTTAAAATAAGGCAATATTGTTATGAACCTTCCTGCACCTAACAAAATAACAGAAAATTTTTAAAAAGCTAATACAACTACAAAGAAAAAAATTTAAATCCACAATAATAGAAGAGTTTCCAAAGTTCTCTCAGAATTTTCACTTCTATATATTAAAAAAAATAAGTAAAGCAAAAATGTCAAATATAAGGATATAAAAGATTTGAAAATATATATATATAAATTATATATGTGTATGTAAGTATATATTTGTAAACTTTTCAAACAACACCTGGAACATTCCCCCAAAATGAACTTGAAATAGGTACTTGATACAAAAAAAGCTTTTACCCTATGACCTTGAACCCTGTCCGCAATGCAATAAAATTAGAAATTTACGTACTTCTTTTAACTCTTTACATCAGAAATCATAGGAAGAACTATAAATCACTATGAATGACAATGAGAATATATTAAAATATGTAAAAGCTGATAAAGCATTTCTCAGAAGGAAATATTTAATCCTAACTTCATTTATTAGGAAACAAGACAGATTGAAAAATTAAAACACATATATATCCAAACACCCCTCTCCCCCAAATAAAACAAAAGGAGTGAATTAATAAAGAAAAAAGCACAAATTAATGAAACAGAACACAAAGTGTAGACTTCATCAAAAACACCAACATTTGTTGGGGTTTTTTGCTAATAACATAAAGTGTTGACTAGTGTAATTAGAAAAAAAGAAGCAGGCAAAAACAATGTCCTCTCAATGACCCCTCAACAACATCCGGGATGAAAAGGTGGCCATAGCAACAATTACAAGCTGGGGTCCCTGAGTGTTGTGGGAGTCCAGGTTAAAAGAGGTGTAACCTTGGTAGTTGTGAAAAGTCCTGGGGGCAATACCAGTTGTTGGGAATGGGGTTTCCTGAAAGTATGTTTTGATTTTTCAGAGCAGATTTGGAGAAATTGCTGCTTTTAGAATAGACGGTAGAAATGGGGATCAGAGCTTAGAGTTACAGCTTCGTAGGTGATTATATTCTATGACTGTGGAAGAAATAATATAGTGGAAAGTTTACAATTCTTTGCTGCTTATATGGAAGTCCATTTAGATTCCCCCAGTCAGTACGTAAATTCTGTGACATAGAAGGTAGGAAGCCTGTCCTTCCCTCATCTGTGAAGGCTGATGTAGGCTGGAGCAAAGTGAGGGGTGACCTCCCATAGAACAGAGGAGAAAGGTCTTGCAGAACTAGGAAATTCAGCAGAAAAGGGGATTCCACAGGCCTATGTACCAATATAACCAGTAGATTTCATTATTTTCTACATTTGCATATAAAAGGAGGCACACCCAATTTTAAGGCTTACTGCCAGATTACCTTCCAAAAAAGGTTGTATTTATTCATGCTCCTCCAAGCATTCCCACATCTTGACAAAATGGGGAATCATTATTTTAGAAGTTATTCTATTCGCTGGGTGAAAAATACTATCTTAATTTAGAAAGAGTATTTTATGTTTGGTTTTATCTACAGATACAGCTTCTAAATATCAGAGTCTTCTTCCACTTTGAAAACTAAATGTGGAACACAGAACCACTCCCACTCCTCCAAGGAATTACACATTAAACAGTTCATGCAGACAAATGAACTAGCACAATGTCTCCAGTCCAGAAACTGTGTTTTCTGGACTCCAAGCAGGGGAATTGCATATCTTTACCTTGCGCCCTGCACAGCATCACTGCTGCCAAGAACCAAATCAGTCTGTAGGTAGACAGATGACAGAAGAAGCTCCTGAACACCTGAAGACAGAAAGCAAAGTACAGAAATGGGCATTTGGATGTGGACAAAGCTAAAGAAGCTGGCATCTCATCACTATGTCAGGAAATGTTGCAGTTAAGGGTTTAACCATCAGAGAACTTTGTGGAAGCAGAATCAGAGGCTATAAATGGAAGAAATAACAGAGTGTGCTCAGGATATGAGAGGGAGGAAGCAGTGATGTGGCTCTTTCATTGTGGCAGTTGGTAGCAATTTGAGGCTTTGCTCCTGAAGTCACCATTGTCAAGAGCAAGAGCAAGGTCTCAAAGATGTAGGATCACTGGGAAAACAAACAGGCATAAATAGACAAAGAAAACAAAGATTAAACATGGCAGAGAGCATCCACTTCCAAAATAATCCCTATCCCTTAGTATGAAAAATGTAAATCAGGAGTAACCATTTTTCAGAAACATATGGCTGCCCTGAAGTTTGTGGAGGTCAGTTTTCCTGCAAATTGTGCAGATTTATATAATTGTACCTTTCAAAAACTAGTAATAGCTTTGGTTTTTTTCTTTGCTTTCTTTTCATGTGTGTGTGTAAAAAATCCTTGGCCTTTTTGTAAATCATGGTGGCATTTAAGGGAATGTTTCTCTGGGCATCACTTTGCTATAAAAATGAGAGGGTGGAATGTATGTAGATTAACCTCTCTCTGTAGTAGCCCCACAGATCCATTTGCTTGGTCTATGTATGCTCATTGTAAGAAGTACAGGCAAGAAACGTGACATTTCACTATGTTTTTTCTAGATGTCTGTATTTTTCCATAATAGAGATGTGTAAGAAATGTAGGTTTCTCTGTATTTTTCTTTACCTGGACTTTTTATTTCATGTTGCCATTCCAACTAGAGGTACAGATTTAATTTCTGTCAATGTCACATAATCTCTGTTAATTCAGCCCACCAAGATTTATGATTGTCCCAATCTGGCATTGCATCTATATTCCCAGGGGCTTACCTAATGCCAAGCCACAGGATAGGGCCATCTTGGTGAGAGCCACCTGCCCAGGCTGGCACTCCCTAAGATAGGCATTTTCTCCTCTAGTCATCCTGGGCTTCAGCTTGTGCAATCAACCTTGTGTTTATAGGGTGTCCTCTCTCACTCTGTTTTGTTCTCCCCATCTCCCAATTCCACACTCCAGAGTTCTCCCAGGGCTGGGCAAAGCGAAATCCTTCCAGGCTGTCTGCCTAGACTCCCTCCTACCTACCTGTCCCTGTTTCCCTTGCCGTGGTGGGCAGGCTTGCCTCCTCCCACAGTTGCCCCCTGGAAAGCAAGGCACAAGTACTCTCTGTTCTTGGATTTCAATGCCTCCCTCCCCCCTAAATTCTACTTATCATCTTCCTAGACTTCCTACTCTTACATGATGCCTGAGAGGAAGCATCATTTTGGGGACACAAACTGCTATCTGAGCATAGACATTAGTTACTCCTTTGCTCTCCTAGCCTAGAAAACACTTGTTTCCCTTTAGTGCCAGAAAAACTGGTCTCTATCACCTTGCAGTTCTTCCCATCACCTCTTCCTGTAATAATACATATTCATATTTAGGCTTTTTAAACCCAAACATTTAGACTCTTGCTATTTAAAAGCTTTGGCTTCTGAAACTAATAAAGTCTTCTTTGGCATTCTCATTCCACAGCATTAAAAAGACAGAAACAAACAAAAAAACAAAAACCCCACCATGCCCCACTCTCTCACAGGGAAATCCAAGTCCTAGCAATGGCTGTGATAAGGAATATGAAATGGATTGGCTCTCAGGGTGAAAACTGGTGTTTTAGATAAGCGAGAAAGCAGACTCACAACAAAACACAAGATGTGTGAAGTGAGAGTCAACAGTACTTAAGAAACAAGAACAGTGATTGAGGCAAAGGGAATTCCAGGGAAAGCCTTGCTGTGACATACATGATACTTACTCTGGCTGCCTTGAGTTAGGACTAGCACAGACACGAGATGTGTGAGCTAGGCTGTAAATTAGGCCGAATGATTTTACCTCTCCATGGAGCAGGAAAAAAAGAAAGCATCAGCCTCTCTTATTAATAAGACTAAATAAGCTAGCAAATGAAAGCTCTTAGAAGAGCAACTGATATAAATACGCACTAAATAAATGTTATCTCACTCAGGTTATTTTGAGAATTACTTAGCATTTAAAGCACTTAATGCTATGCCTAAAATACAGTCTGTGCCAATATGTGTTAGCTTAAAAAATTCATTAATAAAATAATATTCTGGGAGTACAATAATGAAAATGGAGAAATGCATCCCACCACTTCCCAGAAGGGCCAGGGTTCACAGAGACCTGGGTTTTTCTCACAGCTGTCCACCTGGCCGCTACATTGCCCCTCCAGCCAATTCCTAATCCCACCACATGTAGTCACATGGACTGAGAAAAATTAACCTCTCTGCCCATTTCTTTATTTGTAATATTGGGTAATAATTCTTCCTCCAAAGGATAGTTATGAAGATTAAGAGCATCTGTACCTGGTAAACTAGCTTGCAGGCCTCCATTCTCCTTTGTTCAGACAGACACTGAAATAATTGGCTGGCTGGTCTTGCCAAAAGACTATACATGCAAAAAATTACCTTGAGGCATTTTTGTATTTAGATTTTAATTTTTTATTGCTATTATTTTATTTTTATTAATTGAACGAATATAAACGAAAATCGTTCCCCTTGTTCTGTGTCATGTAAACACAGTGTGGATAAACAAAATGTCTGTCTCTCTTGCATATATCCTGAGTTTTTTAACCCTGATTTATCTGATCCTTTATGGCTGCCCAAGGCAAAGGCCCAGAGGGTGGAGAAATAGGCTTAAGCCTCGCGGAGGGGGCAAGCTCTCACGGTGAGCCCTGAATTCGGCAGCCCCACCCCAGTTTTTTGTGTCAGTCGGAGCCAAAACAGCACCAACTAGCCCCTTAAAGGGGCAATTTAAAATAGGATTGCGTTCCTCGCCCTGCAGCCGGAGGCAGCTAGGCGAGCCGCGAGCCCGCAGTGTCAGACGCACCCGGTCCCTCCGGGGGCGACGATCTAGGGAGAAGCGACTCCGGAACCCACGCCTGGCAGCATCCTTTTCCCAGGGTGTGAGGACAGAGAGTCGGGACTCCGGGAACGGCCTGAAAACCACCCTTCGATGGGCAAAATTCGCTTCTCAGCCCGGTTAAACGCTGGGAGGAGAGCGCCGGCACAAACACCAGCGCCAAACCGGACTGCCACGGGCGGCCAGCGCGCGCACTCGGCCCGCCACCGCCCCGGACCACCCGGGCGACATCGCCCACCCGCGCCCTCCCTCCCCGGCCCAGCGGCGCTCACCATCCTCTCCATCCTCGCCCCGGGCCGCGCGGAGTGGCCGGCGTCAGCTGGCTAGCCGGCGGATCTCACGCCAGACCGGGCTGGGCGCCTCTCGAGCCGCGCTGACCGCCCCTCCGCCCACTGCTGAGCGAAACGGCCTCCTCCGCTCAGCTCGCGGGAAACCCACCCCGCCCACCTCGCAGACGCGCGTGCGTGCAGGGGGCTCGGAGGGCCGGGTGAAGTTCCAGCTGGTGGCCGTTAAATAAATGCCAGTGACGCTCATCCTTTTCTACATTTGGAACATTTTGCGTTTTTGAGAGGTGACAATTAAAACTGAACACGTTTGAAAAGAAATACCTTTTTTCCATTTTGAAAGGAAATGGAGGGAGGTGGGAAAACATGAATTGTTCAACGGCTTAGCAGTTAGGGGAATGACAGTCTGCGTCGTCACGCCAGCGTGTAAGAAATGAGGATTTCTGAGACAGAGTAATGAATTTCTCCAAAGATGACCTATGACAATGAAAAATGTTTTGAAGCTGAAGTTAACCAATAGACACTTTAAAAAACAAGTGTACATTAATTTTTATCCAGAAGCAAATTATATGTTCAAACAAGCAATTCTGTAATGATCTTTCCTTTCACGACGTAACTTTTTTTCCTTTACTGTGAGGAATTCCCTTCCACTTGCATTGATGATGAGGATTCTTCTTGTTTTTAAAAAAAGACAGATCAATTAAATGTTCATATCCTGAAGCCATTTTTGTTTTCCTATCACCACCTTATGCTAAGATGTTGTGACAGAACTTTTCCTTAAGATCCATGGGACTGTAAGTCTGAGCATTGCAAGTAATAAAGTAATAACTGATTTTTTCCCCCCAGAAAACCAGAACCATGAAATACATATAGTGAAAGGACTAATAAAAGACTTGGAGTGCCAAACAGGATACCTAAGACAAAGTCAACTCATGTATGTATTGTAGTGAAATTAATGAGAGTAAGTTCTAATAACTTCAAAAATGAAAAGATAGACATACAAAGGGAAAGTCAGCAAAGTGATATGAAATATCACGAGGCAGCGTTGGGTGCAAGAAGGCAATGAGTTAATTTCCAAAGTGTTGAAGAAAAGTAACTGAATTTTACTCCGCGGGAAACCCACCCGCGGGTTTATATATATATAAAATATATTTTATATAATTTTTTAAAACTTTGCAATCAAATATTCATAGAGGAAAGTGCACATATCGTAGGTATACAAATTGTTTTAAATACATTTACATAGCCAGAAGCGGATCAAAAAGCTGTACATTACTAGCTCTCCGGAGCTGTTCCTGTTCCCTTTGCCTACCCTTTGTGCCACTGCCAACTTCCATCCTTTTCCTACTTTTAACATCAGAGACTAAGCTTGCATTCTGTGAACTTTACATAAATGTCATTAGAGAGTATGTGTATCTGGGTTCTTTAACTCAACAACAGATTTGAAAAATACAACCATTATTGTATTCATTGTCACCACTCTATACTCTCCCATCTTATAACTACCGTGTACCACCTTTGTCTACTCAACTGTTAATGGGCATTTTTTTGTTTTCCTGCTTGGGGTTAATTTTAATAGTGCTTTTGTAAACATTCTTTTAAATGGCTTTTTGTCAGCATGTATATACCAGTCTGTTAGATTACTTTTTATTTTTTGCCAGATATCTCTTACGATCACTTTATTTTTAATCTTTCTCTTTTTTTTCCTGTGTAGATAATATTTTGTAAATGATATTTTTCTGTCTTTTCTTTCATTTCTGGCTTAGTTATCTGAATCTTCTCTCTTTTTTCCTTCGTCTAGCTACTGGTCTGTCAATTTTATCCTTTCAAAACACCACCTCTTAGTTTTGTTGACTTTTTTCAATTATTTTTCTGTTTTTTATTTCATTTATTTCTGCAGTAATTTCTTGTTACTCCCTTTCTTCTCCTAACTTTGGACTCAGTTTTTCTTTTCTATTTCCTAGCTTCTTAAGGAGTACAGTTAGGTTTTTTTATGCAATCCCTATCAAAATTCCCTTTGCTTTTTTTATAGAAATGGAAAAAAAACAATTCTACAATTCATATGGGACACAAAAGACCATGAAGAGCCAATCCATCTTGAGAAAGCAGAAGGAAGCTAGAGGCATCACACTTACTGATTTCAAAATATAGCAGAAAACTACAGTAATCAAAACTGGTATAAGGACACATATATATAGACCTTTGGAATAGAATAGAGACCTCAGAAATAAATCCGCACACACTTGTTCAACTGATCTTTAACAAGGGTGCAAAGAACACACAATGGGGAAAGGATCATCTCTTAAAAAGTTATGTTGGGAAAACTGGAAATCCACAGGCAAATGAATGCAATTAGATTCTATTTTACACAATACAGAAAAATCAACCCTAAATTGATTAAAGGCTAAATGTAAGACCTGAAACTAAAACTCCTAGAAGAACATATAGAGAAAAAGTTTCATGATATTTATCTTGCAATGATTTCATGGATATGGCGCCAAAAAGCACAGATAACAAAAGCAAACAGACAAATGGGACTGTATCAAGCTAAGAAAGCTTTGCATAGCAAGGGAGACAATGAAAGGCAACCTACAGAATGGGAGAAAATGTTTTCAGGAGTCCTTAAGAGTCATAAAACCAATCACAGGCATGCAAATGTTCGTTTCTCACTGGCATTAATGACAGGTAAGTCTGTAACTTATTTACATGTGTTCCAGATATGGAACAGGAAACAATTGCTCAGACACACTGGCGTACTGCCCAGCGTAGGCGACAACATTCAGGTGCTCTCCGAGTTTGTTCTCTGTCAGAATCTTCGAGGTGTTGCATCATCCCTAAAGTGATAGGTGATAGGACTGTCCTGAGCCTCTGCACCTTATTTCTTCCAACTACAGTCACATCATCTGACCTAATGAGTTCCTAAAACTAGTTTTCATTTTAATTTGGGCATATTTCCAGGTGTGATATAAATTAGTCAATGCTGGAAATAAAAGATACAATGGAACCTGGGAAAAACATATTTTCAAACCATATATCTGACAAGAGCTTAATCTCAAAAAATGTATAAAGAACTCCTCTAACTCAATAGCAAAAATCCCTAATAACCCAACTAACAAATAGGCTAATTATTTCAATAGGTATTTCTCAAAAGATACAAATGGCCAACAAGTATATGAAAAATATTCAATGCCACTAATCATCAAAGAAATGCACATCAATACAATAGCTATCACCTGACACCTGTCAGGATGACTCTTGTGGGTAAAATTGCAGTATTTCCAGAATCTCTTGCCTGGTTTTACTACATCTCCGTATCAACAGGTGTTTCCAAGGGGTGGAGAGAAGTAGTCCATCTCCATGTCAACAGGTAATTACAAGGGGGAGCGAGGGCACATCTGGACCGGAGAGGTGGAGGGGAGTACTGGCTCGCTTCTGCCATAGCAGGACAGAGGGGGTCACAGGACGACTGCTTATAAGCAATAAATGGGTTTTAAACTTTATTATTTCTCCCTTTGACTGATTTAGGCTTTCAAAGGTATTTTGCCCTGGGACTTCCCCTCCCCAGATTTACAACTATTACCAAAAAAAAAAAGACAACAAATGTTGGTGAGGATGGGGAGAAATTGGATTCTTGCTCACTATTGGTAGGAGTACAAAATGATCCAGCTACTATGGGAAGCAGTACAGAAGTTTCTCAACAAGTTAAATTTTGATTCAACCTCACTTCTGGATACTTATCAAAAAGAACTGAAATCAGGATCTCAAAGAGATATTAGCATTCCTGTGTTCATTGTAGCACTGTGCACAATAGCCAAGGTGTGGAAAACCTTGTATAAGTTCATTACATTCATTCATCTAAAGGTGTGGAAAATGGGTACAAAAATATTACATTCATCTAAAGGTGAATGGCTAAAGAAAATGTGGTACATACATACAATTGAATACTATTCAGCTTTAAAAAGAAGGAAATTCTTCAATATGTCATGACATAGATGAACCTTGAGGGCATTATGATAAGCAAAATAAGCAATTCACAGAAAGATAAATGCTGAATGATTCTACTTAAGTGAGATATAAAAATAGTCAAATTCATAGAATCAAAATGTGAAACGGTGGTTGCCAGGGGCTGGGTGAGGGAGAAATGGGAGTTACTAACTAAGTGGTTTAACTTAAGCAACATGAGTTAAGTTCTAGAGATTTGCTGTACAACATTGTGCCTATAATCAACAATACTACATTGTATAGTAAAAAAAAATACTTGTTAAGTGGGTAGATCTCATGTTAAATGTTCTTAAAATAAAATATAACTTTTTAAAATTTGGAAATAAAATGATAAAAATCAGCATAAAAATTTTAAGACTGAATAAACCAATGACCTTGAAAGCAATGAAATTGAGATCAAAGAATTCCCCTGACAAAAAAATTCACTGATCCAGGTGGTTGTTAAAGAACAGAAAAATCTATCTTATACATGTTCCTGAATGGAAAGACATTAAGTGACTAAGCTACTTTTTAGAGGCCAGTATTAATTTCAAAACCTTAATTTGAAAGCTTTATTGCAAAGCCAGGGAAAGATAATCCCCCCAAAATGAAATTATAGTCCTGTTTTACTTTTAAATATAAACCAAAATAATTTCCAGAATATTTTAACATCAGAAAATCTGTCAATGTAGTTTGTCATATTAGTGGGCTACTATGGAAAATTTATATGACTACCTCAACAGGTACCAAGCTATAACTTCTTAAGTTCAACAACCTATCTATGATAAAACCACAGAAAATGGAAATAATAAAACATTTCCTAAACTTGATAATATACTTAATAGTCAAGCACTGCAGCAAATACCATAATAAGAGAAATCTTAGACATGGTCTTTAAATTTGGAAATGAGACAAAATAACTGTTGCTATTGAATATAAAAAAGAGACATAAGGATTAGAAAGGAAGAAGCAAAAATGTAATTATGTGCAAGAGAGATAATCATCTACATGGAAAATACTTAGATTGACTGAAAAACTTTGAGTTAATAAGGAGTTTAGCAAGGTTTCCAAATATAGCTTAAAGTAGAAAATCCAGAATTGTCCCTAAACCACTAGTAACCAGCTAGAAAATTTCATTATTGAAAAAAAAATACCATTCATTATAGTGAACAAATTTAAAGTACCAAGAAGTTAAGTTAGCAAAAAATTACACAAAACTACAGAGAGATAATTTTTAAACTTTCCTAAAAGACATTCAGAAAGATTTATCAAATATTTATTGGTGGAGCAAATTACACTGTAAAGACACCAATACTCCAGAAATTAATCTATAAATTCTATGTAAGATTAACAAAAATTCCAGCTGTATTTTTTATAAGAACATAATAAAGTATTTCATGATATGTGTGTGTATGCATGTGACTTCTTGAACAGATATACATCAAGTTAGAAAACAAAATAACAGATTCAACAGTGATAAAAAATAGGGAGAAGTAATCATTATCTACTATGAAAAAAATCTAGAATATAAAGAATTTCTGCAAATATAGAGAATCAACCAGAAATTGCATGAAGATATAGACTAGAATCTCACAGAAGAGGAAACCTGAATGTCTAACAAATATATGAAGACATGTTCATATTTCTTAATAAATCCACACAAATCAAAGTGGCCATTCAGTTGGTGGTGGGAGGGGTCCTGAATCAAGGGATGCATAGATGCATTCAAAGATATTAATATTAACATAATCTCATTTGAAACCACCAGTTCCTGAAAGTAGTTTACATAGACAAATACAAATCTTTGTTTCCATTTATTTTTAAAATAATTGCCACTACCAAATGATTGTTTAATATGGAAGGTTAAGTCTTAATATGAAGTGTACACAATAACAGAAAAAATCACACACCTGCCCATTATATAAGTACATGAAGCAAGGGGCTTGTTAAAGCTCCTTGACAGGCTTTCTCAGCTTGGATATAGTTTTCAGGCTCATGTTCTAGAGATAATGACACCGATGTATCTGAGGATGAATGCAGCCCAAACACTCCCCCAACTGGCAGTACATTTTAAGAGAATGTTATGAATAAAAAATTGAGAGATTCAGGCTCAAATTCTCAGAGATTGATTAAAATTTCTCTTCAATGCTTAAATTAACATAAAAATACTCTAATTATACAACTTGAATGTTATTTCTACTCCGTAAAAGTGAGAGTCATAACTTATGATTTGTCTTCTTGGAGAACATACCTGTTATATTCCCAAATTCTATATTGTCCACCTTCCAGCTAGGAGGATCTTTTTAAAGTGTAAATCAGATCCTTGTACTCCTTTGTTTTAAATATTTCAGTGAATTGATAGTGCAAATAGTAAAAAGCCCAGATGCCTTTCCAGGTCTGTGGGCCTTATCTGCTGTGGCCCTCATCTCTCTAAATCAATGTTCCTGCTACCCTGATCTCTTTTTCTCTTGGGACACAGTAAACTCTTACCTTGGGACCCACACCACCTCTTCCTTTTTTGTTTGGAATACTCTATGTCAGAACTTCACTCACAACTTTTTCTTATCAGTTCTCAGCTTAAATGTCACCTCCTCAGACAGATCATTCAGTATAAGCTAGCCCCACAGTCTTTTCCAGTTACATCATTCCGCTTTATTTTCTACATAGCATTTATCACTATCCCTTATTTTCTGCTTTCTTTGTCTTTTCATTGACTACCTCTTCCCACTGGGGCTCAAGCTCCTGAAGACAAAGAACTTGTCTGTTTTAGCTGTGTCTCTGTTTCCCGCACTAACAACAATGAATAGCAATACATAGGCACTCAGAAGGTTTGTTGAATAAATGAATTGATATTTTCTTATCAGTTTGTTGGGTCCTGGAAAGTGGGACCACTTTCATCTTACTGTGGCTTTGTCAAGCAGATTTATCTCAAGCCCCCTATCTCAACCTTTTTCACCACTCAGTGGACCCTCTCCCACCAGTTGCCTGAAGTCCATATGTTCTCTCTTCCTCCAAATCTGTCCTCAAGAAAGAATCTTAAACTCAAGTTTTCCCATAAGCATGAACAATTACTAACAGCCTACTCTTACAACAATACCAAGTAGGGTTATCATTTTAACAAGGATAAGTCCTTGACTGCAAGAACTGCGAAGTATATGGAAAAGAGTTTTCCATCATTTTTCTTTCCATGAGGCATTTTGCCAGAACCCGTGAAATTTTTTTGTTTTTTGTTTTCAGATTTGCAACTAGCCCTATTTGACTCACCTTCTCTACCACAGACAGGTAGTAAGACAACTTACTTTTTCTCTCTCTGAACAGTACAGCAAATGATACATGGAATGCATAGCATTATGACTATACCACCAATAAGCCACCAAATGTAAGAAGGACCAAAAGAACCTGAAAGACACAAATCAGACACATGTCCTTTATGACTAGACTTTCTTTCTCCACATTACACTGCCACTTTGGAACCATTGATCTGTAATACTCTCCTGACTTCCATTGCTTTGCTGACGTTCAGATTGTCACTGTAAGATTATTTGCTGTATTCCATTTTATGAAAGAATACACTAATGTGTCGGCCTCCTCCCTGTTTCCGACCCGCAGATAAAGGAGGCGACACGATAAGATATTGAAGACCTGAGTAGTCCAGCCAGCGGACTCAAGGCATACCAGCTCAAGAGTGGTGCTGGAAAGGCACCTCTCATATTTATTGATCAGGCATCACATTCTTGAGTGGGTTAACAAGTTTCTAGAAACAATGATTAACATGCTTTACTACAGGAATGTAATTGCCTCCAGGTCGCTGGGGCAAGTCTTCCCTGGCGCCAGGCAAT